CTTTTATAAAACAAAAATATTTGATTTCTTCTATACATCACCAGATTACTAAGTGACGAGTAAGTAAACAGCTTTGGGTAAATGAAGTGAACCAAACAAAAATCCAATTATTGTATTAACACGAAAGTGCTTAAGCTGGTGAAATGAAATCATCTTTAGCTATTATAATACGTACAGTTTTGTGGAATGAAAAGTCACAATAAGACTATAAATATTCTTACTTAATGTACTTTGTTCTTAACAAGTAATGAAAGTATTTAATAAAAATGGTATTACAGTTTTAAATTTAAATAATTCAATATATATTTTAGTTACTTATAGTATTAACTAAATTAACTTTTAACATTATATTTCTTTAAGAGTAATACATACATTGGCCACATGTGATAGATATAGTACACAAAGATCTACATGTGACAGTTCTGCTTTGGTGCTTAGTAATATCATTAAGCAGGCCCAATCTCATTGGGTATATTCTGGGGTTGAGGGTCAAAACCACTGCTAGCAGCAAGGGAGATGAACTGATGATTTGGACAAAATGGTTGTAGAAGCATTTCGTAGTTTACCTGTTACTAATAATCAAGGCTATTTATTATCAACTGTAATCATTATTACAGAATTTTAGCAGCTCTTCTGATTGAAATTATCACACAAACATATTTAATATCTTGGTTTCTCTGTGATACATTGTTTTTAACATTTCCTGTTTATAAATGTCTGATGCTTTGTTTATTTTCATTTCAGCAGTGGCAGTGCAAGTTTCAAGAATAAATAGGTTTTATTACTGTGACAATATTATCTGTTTGCTGTTATCTTGTTTCACACCCTCATATAAAAAACATATCATGGTTCAAATTAGATACCTTCTATTTTAAGAGATTAAACATATTTTGTTGCATTTTTATAGGGTTAAAATGATAAATACTTTTCACCTTTGTTTTTAATTTTCCAGTGCAAAGCCCTTAAAAGTGCAAGGCCAAAGCAAATGCTAGTCATGCTAAATGCTTAATGCTTGTGCTTCACCCCTCAAGTTTAAAAAAAAGTAAGGTTCAAATTAGGTGCTGCTATTGTAAGAGATTAAACATATTTTGTTGCATTTTTATAGGATTAAAATGATTAATACTTTTCAATTTAAAATAATATTTTTAATTTTCCAGTGCAAAGCCCCTAAAAGTGCAAGACCAAAGCATGTGCTAGTCATGCTAAATGCTAGTGCTTTCTGCAACTCTCTGTAAGCCAATTAAATATTAGAATAAATAGTGAACAGTGAGACAATTTTTACTGCTGTTTTACAGAGATTATAACCTATCATTACCTTATACATATGAAAAAGGAGGTTTGTCTAAAATTATTGTTAGGTGGAAACATGCTTGCTAAACTTGCACTGTATTTAGATAAGTATAATTTGTATAATACTGTTACATGTGAGCATTGTTTTATTATACATTGACAAGTTAATTTTGTAAACTCAAAACTTTGCTATGGAGTTTTAGGGCTTATGTTAAACATATAGTAATACTGAATGACAAAACAATTCCTTTCAATTGGTAATAGAAAACAGTAAAAGTAATTATTTACTGTTTCTTGAGGTGTATTCTGAAGATTTGTAAAATATCGACATAAGTAGATTACCATTTTTCTTAATCCTTACTTATGGCAAAATTATTAAATGTTTTCTAACAGATCAAATGAATAAATGTTGGTCACACTATTGAAGGTAGCAGTTTAATCTGTTAAGACTTTTTGGTGACATTTTTATTGCAATAAGGCCAACTTATAAATTATTAACAATTATGTTTCTCATCAAACAAGAAGTTTCATCTTATGAATAAAACATTAACTTGTTTGCAGTCTTTTCTGGTATTGTCATCTTATTACATGTTTTGTAATACATGATGTACAGGATACATTTTCATGTGCAACAGCTTAAAATTAAAAAACGTAACTAAATTCTAAATTGTTGTAACTGAAGATATCTATCAGATTAAGTAAATGGTAATTTGAAAATGTCTTAAAAATCTCATAATGAAAATAGGAAGATTAGTCTCACGATAATAATAATTGCTTAATTGAATATAATCAATTAACAGCCCAACAATTAATTAATTAGCAAATTCCTCTAATTGCCAAGCCCTACTAAAATGTAGTGTAACGAATTTATTGTATATTTATTTTACTATCCACGTTTGTTTAGATTAAATTTATATTTAGAAACATACATAGCTTATATTGTTAAATATGTAAAATATCAAAGGAGTTCCAGACTAGAAAGAAGACTTTATAATGCTTGTAAGTTTGTGAAACTTTTGTTTACAAATCATTGTTTGTAATAACTATTTGTAATAACTGTTATTGTAAATTGTTTTGTTGTGAGTATATTAAAACATATTTTTGCTAAAAAATAAAACTGTGTGTATCAATCTTGTTGGCAAATATCATAAACTGACTATATATCAGCTTTTACTTAACTGCTAAATCAAAAGTCCAATTTAACTACTAAATTTAAATTATCAGTTAACTCGGTTTTAACCTTTCAAAATTGTAATACGTAACAGTAGCTACAGCTCAGTGCTGGTCAGAAAGGAACATGAACATGTTAGCAACTGTGGCTTGAGTGTCACACTGCTCACACATTGGGAGTTCACTCCCTCATAAGATAAAATGATGAGTAATAAAACTATGGACAATTTCCTCCCCCTGATAACTGCACAAACTAGACAGCCAGTAACTGATACTAGATTTTATCTGAAAAAGTTTATTCAAATGTTGCTCATCTCATTTTTTGCCTGCCAACTGATGTGAAGCCTAACCTTGTTGACAGGCTTGAAATCCAAATATGAAATAGGCAAGATTTTAGTATCACCAGGTATGGATGCTTTGGCCTCGGTGTCAGTGAACTCTTTCCCTTGAATTCCAACATGGCCAGAAATACAGAAAAACTAGATAAAGATAGATGACAGTGAGAAATAAGCCATTATTTTCTGAAAATGTATGAGGACTGGGTAAGAATTAACCTCAACCAATTCCAAAGCCTTCAAAGAGCTAAGTGAGTCAGTACATATAGTATAATTGGTGTACTGCTTTGCTTCAATTACTTCTTCCAGAGACTCAACAAAGACTTCAGTTGGCCTTGGTGTCAGTGAGCTCTTTTCCTTAGATTCCAACATAGCCAAAAACCAGAAAACAGAAAAACTTTATAGAGATAGATGACACTGAGAAACAGGTGGGATGAAATGATGGTATAACAAGCCAAGAAGGGATGGGCTAATCATTGGATATCATCCAATGTCACACACATCTCAGTCAACTTCACTGCAGAACTAAAGCCTCTGATTACTAAGCATAGAGTCTACATCTTCAATACAGAATCCCGTGCCAAGGTGACCAGAAGTCTATGCCAGTTTAAACCAAATGAGGGCAAGATAAATGTTGAACACACAACATAGACCGGACGAATTTCTGAAAAGAGGTCTGGAAAAAGACATTAAGAAGCATTTTTGAGTAACAATTGGGAACCTGACTTTTTAATATAATTCAGGTGTGCTGAAACCAAAATTGAGGTTCCCAAGCAGAATTTTGAGTTCTTGACCTACAAATTTGCAGTAAATTAAGAATTTGAAGCATATTTCTGTGTTTATTTCAAGCATAGAAAACTTGTTAAATCAGAATATATTAGAGAACAATTGTTGACTAAATAACTTTGGACATAATAGAACTATAATGAGTCCAAAAATTTTGGCACATAGGTCATATTATGAGTTACTGACATTTTATATTATACAACAAAAAATAGCCACTAAAACATTTTCTTTGACAACAGCTTTGTTTATGTGAAATA